TGGTGAGACCCCTTAAGATAATAAACAAAGTAAAAAATAATGTTGAATTTAATAATTTAATTTAAGAGTCCCCAAATATCATGAACGTAAATGAATTGCATATCGAAATCACGAAATTATAGCAACGTGCCACGTGAGCGAGAATAGAAAAAGTGAGGAAGGGCAATCAGGATTCCCTTAGTCCAAAATAACGCGGAAACGACCGCGTCGTGGCTTGTGTTTCGCGTAAAATCATATTGGCAAGGCACCAGAGTAACGCTTTCTGGAAGGTTCAATGCCATTACTCGGTGATATGCCACCTGCGGCTACATCGTTGCTTCCCGGTGAAAGGCATTCACTGCGATCTTTTCGCGAGCGCATGAGACGTGCGGGCGTATCCGTGCGATATGATAGCTATCTAAGTGAAAGCGAAACTAATCGTATTATGGAGATTATTGGCAGCAACGTCAATACTCTTACCGATTAAATTCTCACTCCTTGGCAAGAAACGCAAATGTATAAGTAAATGAAAATAATGGATCTTTGTTACGTGTAAAAGTTTAATTATTCTTACATAACTTTCTTATTTTCGGAATTAATATACATTTTTTTTTTATCCGTCTCGTATGCAGCACGGTATATCCTGTTACCCGCTGAAAAGTGAGACTGGCGTTAACAAAGGGCGGCGATTTTTAAGATATTTAATTCCGCGTTGGTGAAAGGGTTAAATAAACGGTGACGTAAACGCGCTTACGTAAATATAGGTAAGGAATAACGCGAGCGACGAACACAAGACGAAAGTGATTTCGTAACGTACCCTGCCGCATCTCGAATTAACGCGCGCCCGAGGGTTGGCATTAATTCGCTAAAAATACGGCCTCTTTGGTAACGGTGTGGTAACAGGGAGAGAGATTATTACTACAATTGCATAGACTAGATCTAACGATGTGATTCACGAACGAGCAAGGGGATCCTAGATCAAATCGCCGTATTCGAAATTTCGCGATTCCGATACCTTCCGAGCGAAGTATCGGAAATTTGCGCCGTAAGAGAAGTTCCGCGCTGTAAGCATAATTAAGTCTGTCGCGGTTTCGCTGCTCGCTTATTGATCTAACAGTTTCGCAATAGTTTATATAACGAGCATTATAAAAGCTATGTTGTCGAGAGGAGAATCGCGCGTGTGCTCTGTACTTGAAATCTTCAAATTCTGACGAAATATCTATTTTTCTCAAAGGAGTCTGTTAAACGTTTTCATAAATATAATTCTCGTAATTTATCTCCTCTTCATTTATCTCCTCACCTTGTAGTGCTCATTTGAAAAATTTTTGCGTTTCTATCCCGCGCAACTTTAAATATAGTAGGTATAAAATTAAATGGAATACCGTAAATATACCGAACAAATGAAAGAATAAGAGCGATGAAATGTAAATAGAGCAACAGGTGACGTTTAGCGAATTGTAAACTTGTTAGTGATACGAAGGATCGATATAACTGCGGCGGGCTACGCAGCGTGGGTGTCACGTTGGATGGAAATTTTACATCTCACTCGAATAAACCTCGCCCACGCGATTTTCTCTGACTGGCGATATCGAAGGGAAGAATTGAGGAAGGGGTTGCTCTCTCAATATAATGGAAGATACACGCGTATTGCATGCGCTCGTGAAAGATTTAACGTGATATCAACATGTGACATAACGTGTAGCCTCTTTTCCTCAAGGAGGACTTTCGGTTACCAGCGGCGTCTAAATGATCGATCTTGAAGAGTCTACCATGGACCTTTAGCCACATTTCTTTCTCTGAGCAATTAAAAGAAATTTTTATTTACCGCTTGTAATAAACCATTTGCTTTTACGTGGCAAACTTTACGTGAGCCTAATGTAGTTCTACAGTCACGTATACTTTGTTCGTTTACGCGTATCTGGAATTTCTGAACGACTGTCTTCCGGACTAGCGCCTCCGCTGAGCTTAACCTGTAGTTGCTCAACGAGGTGAATCATTACAGCGGTCGGACTAAGGGATAACCGGACTGAGGGAAACGTTTTGAAGCCTTAGGTGGGAAAATAGTAAGGCGAAACCCGAAGAAGGTCGGGAAGAGTGCACGAAACCAGCTTATGAGAAACAAACAGAGGAACGGTATAAGCTCTCGGCGCAGCGATATCGATATCGCAGAACATTTCACGTAGGGTGCGTTTCGTTTCATGCGCGATGCGCATGATGTATCATTTATCTTTGTTGTTCACTGAATGTTAAACAAGGATAAATTGATACATGCGCATTATGCGTGAAACGGAGTGCACCTGTAGATTTAGTCAACAAGTGGTAAATAAAATTTGCGACTAAAAGCCGCAGTTCGCGTTCCATTGGTATCTAACGGTGTTTCTTTGCGCACGACTTTACAAAACAATACAAAATTTCTCTCTTGCCTAGTACGGGCACATAAAATATTTAAATTCACTCCACGCAGGTAAAAACGGCGTACATGATTAAACAAAGAAAGAGAAGAAATCGGCAAATTTTTATTTATTATCCATGGGAAAACGAGACTTTAGCTAAATGAGCGTTATTTCCTATTAATAATAATTATTATAGTAAATTTGATTGCCTCTCGTTTTTTTTTAGCGAATCAATAGGAGCCTTGAAAAACTCGATATATTTAAACGACGCTTCTGCGTTGACACGTTTAACAGTGAAAATTCTTTAACTCGATTCGTGCTGAATTCGAGGACGCTCATAGAATTTCTCCGGGAATTACGCGTGAATTTTATTTAAAAAAAAAGCCGTGGGCAATTCACGTGCACTCGTTCCCTTTTGCAGATCGTAACCAACCTGATTTCTTGTCGAGTACGGTGTTCGCCGGCGCGACGGCGTTATACGACGTGATTTCCGGCAGCGATTTATTCACCACTGTCTTCGGGCCGGCTTCCGCCTCGGCGGGGTTAAACGTCGCGATCGCTTTCGACTTCTTCTTCTTGTGCTCCTTGTCCTTTCTCTTGCTGATCGGCTGCGGTAGAGCCTCATTGCTATACACATAATGCATGTAAAATCGTGAGATAGTTGCGACGATCCTTCACCTCCAAGTCTAGGAATTAATTTCAAGTTCTGACATTGAGGTATCTGATTGATTTATCAACTGTCATCTATTGTGACTTGCAGATTGCTTTCGCGGAAATTTTCCAAAATGCAAAAAATCAGCAAAATGCCAGCTCCCGTTGAATTTTAAATAAAAATGTGGCGTGTAAATATATATAGATATAATTTACAAGTTAAAGTGCAAGATCTTTGCGTTTGCGTTATTCAGCATTCTCGACGCAATAGCGAAATACTTGATAAATCAATCATGCAACGCAAGTCGATAATACATAGTCTCGTGTCACGCCATGTGACAAACGAGTGTCAACGTGGGAACTACGCTGATAAGCAAGAATCGTATATAAACGCGTTTCTTGCGACTCACGCGGATCTAAAAATAAACGTCAGGGGAAATATTCCGTTGAAGGAGCGTGCAAACGTGCAATGATTCCAGAATCCTTAGGAAAAGTTGTGGAAAAATACATATTCTAGATACAATCTGATTATCTCTGTATTGCAATCGCACCATATAAGATAACGTCATTACGCGAATGAGCAATCATAAATTATAAATAATTACAGTAAATTAATTGATTCGTATTTAAATGCGTATACGTATATATAGAATATTAAAATAATATATACATTGATAAATAATAGTATATAATTAGTAAATAATTATATATATAATATATATATTTATAGATATATTAAGAACAATAAAATATTATTTATATATCTCGCACGAAACCTTTTGTAACATCAAATCGATATAATTTTAAATTTAATTTACTACAGCTTTACGCTCTCACGCTGCACAATTGTAATCTGTCAATGCATAGACGACTTTCTCCCGGAAAGCTCTTTCTTCAAGAGAGTCCTGATATAACAAATCTGTAAAACGTGACTACCACGCGTTACGCAAGTAAGAGAAAGTTCGACATTCGTTTAACCGTCGATCGTCCCGGAAGTCTTCCTGATCGCACATTTTGCGCACTTTTCTTGTGCATGTATGCACATAAATAGTGAAAGATTACATCATTAAAGGGCGATTTCGACCAGACTTCGACTAAATTAATTTAAACGGCGTCTAATTCAACCGACAGCATAAATAGCAACAAGTTAGAAAATAACTCCGGCGAGATCACATATATCCTCGCTCTCGTAATAATCCCCGGACTTTTCTTATCGTACAGACGCAATCAGTGGTTACCAAATCGCCTTATTTTAGACAATGCGAAGCACGAGTAATTCAGTACAATGGATGCGCTTTGGGCACGTCCAGAAACGAATTATTTTGATCTAACACAGCGTTTCGATGTTATTTCAGACGTTATCTAATGGTTACGATTGTTGGATAAACGTAACTGAAGTGCATAACGAAAATGCGGCTATGTCTTGAAATTTAACCGTAAACCAATTATCTGTTCTATTTCGAAGGATTATGTGAATTTATATTAATATACTTTGTAATATAAAATTTAAAAAACACACATATATATATATATATATATATATATATATATATATATGTATGTATGTATGTATAAATTACGATACATAAGTATTTTATATTACATTACAAAGTATTAATATGATTTTATTTTATTCCTTAATTTTTGAACAAAAAAACATATATTAGTATGCTAATATATTTGTATAAATTTTAGAATGGCACATTATGTCAATCTCTAAGTAGATCAATTTTAGGAACGATTAAGCTAAAATTAATTGCCACTATATTTGTCATAGCTACTAAAAGTGTCGCTATAAACGATACTCGCTTTTCATTCTCACAAGTCATGCAAAAATAAACGCGCAACGTGAGGTATAAATTACGCGTGACTGCAACGTGCTTTTAATGGCGCGATTGATTGAGTACGTTTTCCCCTGAAACGTTTTCCACCTATAGTTTTCTACCAAAGTCTTCACTAAGGCAACATATGACACAATTACTCTAACAACTTGACCTTACGTGTCGAAAATATTTTAATTACACACTCGGAATTGATTAATACAAATTTTTTTCATAGAGATTTTTAATTAAAAAAAATCTATGTAAAGGGCGATTACAATTAAACTTAAATCGGTTCGTTGAAATCGCGAAATTTCACTTCAAATATCATCCGCTAAGCACGCGGAATTGCGTAACGGCAATCAGTTATGATATACATACTCGCCGTGGAAATTTTTTTGGAAATTTACTCGTCCGATCGACCGTGAATTTCGGGAACGATATTCACTTATTATAACCGTGCCTCTCTTTATCTATTACGCAACAATACGCGGGAGTTGTCTGATGAATACCTATAGACGGCACATGGCGCGACACGTGTGTCGGTGTTTACAGCGGGGCGTCGCGCCGCTGCTGCGTTGGTCCGACTTTGTAACCAACTTTAACTATTTTATTTACATGCACGCAACGCGGTTACGCGACGGCGATGCTTGGAAGAACGATGTGTACGTGGATGATCATCTCCACCGGGAGAGTCAAACAGTGAAATATTTAATCATGCGCCTCTGACAAGATCATTCCTTATTGCTAAACAGAATCGACGCGAGGATTAGATTCGTTAATTACGGGATACTACTATAGGAAAACGCACATTCTTCTAGCAAGTTGAAATAATCATGCTAGAAGAAGACACTAGGAATTCTATTTGAAAGATATATCTCGCCTTTTATGGTTTAATCAAACAGGTTTGATTTTCAGAAATACGTTATACGTCTTAAAATGATTACATAATAATTATTTCGCTTTTAAATAACAATAGATTTATTACGAAATATGTGTCGGTTCTAAAAAGATTTCCTCTACAAGGTTTTGCCAAGATAATTTATTAATCCATGAAGATCTTTTCCCAAGCTTTCAAGATCGCTTCCGATCGCGATTACGTTCGTTCTCCATTCGCCTTCGCGGATCCAGTTCGGAGAAATCTCACAATGGTAACATGTCGCTTCTGCATATCAGTTACGGAATACATTCAGCTATTCGCAATCTGGTCCGAGCTGCTAAGAGATCGTTATTCAAAGCGATAAACCCGCGCGTATGCGGCGCGCGGCGGCGCCCTAAATAGCCCCACGTTATTAAACGCCTCTGCGTCAGACGTTTGCACGTCTCCGTTCATTCAATTCCGCGCGTTATATAAAATTAATGGCGGATTAATTCTTTTTGTAACCTTTCTCCGATTTCGATGCATTTTCCTCGCGTTACGAAAACTACGTAGTTTGTTTTATAGAGATAAAAAAAGATACAAATACGAAGAGTCTTTTGTCGTTTGATAATCGGGATCAATCGATAGACGGAGTTACCTGGATCCGAAGGTCGAAGGACATCTACCGCAATAACCGCTGCTCTCAGAGCGATTGCTATTCCTCGAGATCGAGCTGCCACTGCTGTAACAGAAATAAAATCAGAATTGAATTTGTTTTTAAGAACAACACCTGAAGAGATTTTTCCTCTTTGCATTAAATGAGAACGGATGTATTATACAATAGAGCGATCTGCGAATTGAGCGAAAGTGTTCGGGATTATAATATCAATATAAATCAATTTGCAGTAATTATATATTTCGCTCAATTCGCAGATCGCTCTATTGTATAATACATCCGTTCCGGTCCATTTCACGCTACTTTTCGGCAAACGCGGGATGTCCGGCGCAAAACTCGGCTGACTACTGAATCTCCGTCCGGTTACCGAATCGGGCCGGATGTTTGGCAGCCTCATCATTATTAAATGATTCCGAACGGGAGATTTGCAAATGATAAGAAGAAATATGAATAAAAACGTCAGTTAACGATAAAGGACTGTCGAATTATTATACAATCTTGCGACCGACGGGTAAGAATCCTTACAGATGGGATTCCTCCCGTTGCGCTCGATCGCGGCAACGTGCGCGTGCAACGTGCGAGACGATTGCAAAATCGCGGCACAGTAATCTCGCAACGGCCTCGGCCGCCGCGCTCGGGAAAGCGGCCTAGTTTACGCCGATTTACGAATCGCTTGATCGGCACCAAGTATGCAACGACGTCATGGCGTTATGAATGCCTTAGCCTAAGCGATCCACGGCGCCCAAAAGTTGGTGCGATTTCTACAGTATTTTTATTTTCCTAATTGTAAGTCGAATTTAATTTAACGCTTGTACTCTTATATTTATACTCGTATTTATACGTGGTATAAAATATATAAATTACGAACTTATAACAAAAGGAGAGAATATCTTACAGATACTGTATACAGATTATATCACTATATAAGCCATATGTTATATAATATATTACAAGAGTGACGAACGAGCGAGTTTGGTGGGCGTTATTTTGGCGTATTAAAAAGGCATACAACGTAATATAAACTAAGCAAATGTAAGTAGGTCACGCGACTCGAATTCGCGACCGCGGCGGCGGCCGATGGAAAAAAGGCCCTCGATCACATGTTCGGCAAACGTGACGTTCGGTCCTTACGCGCGGCCGGTCTATCTTTTTCTCTCTCTTTCTATCTATCTCTATGTGGTGAACTCCCTCGGACCTTTCACTGTCCCCATTATTCGCCGCGGCCGTCGCCGATCGACCGACCGGCCGCATTTGTTCGGTCGGAAAAATCATTGCATAAGAAGGCGCACAGCTTCACGTTCGCGGCCCCGTGACTATCGCGAGGACGACGACGACGACGACGACAACGACGCTTATCGATTCCGTTTCGCCGATTATGCTCGAGACTTATCCAAGAGATAAACTTAGATAAGAAAATAGAATGGCCCTCTCATTTTCAGGGTAAGTAGACTGCGCTATCGATTGCACGGCGTTACGCAAAAACGAGTTAATCCACCGTGTGTATAGATCGATATGTATTAAACCTGTAAAACATACATACGGAATTTTTCACGTTTTCTTCCGTGATTCGAGACATGTGTGGTAACAATCCCGTTTCATGAATCTCGTGAAATTATAATTCGCGTAACATCTATCATCCCCGTTTCATGAATTTCGTGAAACTGTATAATTTACGTAACATCTATAACATCATCCATAGTTTACGGTTTTGTTAAAATTTTATTAAAATTCATTATTTAGCTTTGAAAAATTATTCTTTTATAAAGTGCTTCTTGTCTCTCTATTTTCAAGTGTAAATATTTTGCTTACCATGTCCTTCGTATCAATCTGTGCGAACGCGGGTTCCCCAGATTCTGTCGCTAATTTTATTTTAACAGTGGCGAATGGTATTATAACGGTATTGTATAAGAGGCATGTGCCTGAACGAAAATAAGCGCGTAATTATCGTAGATTTGTAAACGGTCTAGAAAGACAAATATACGCCGGAAATACACGTTCCGGCGAAATGTCACGTTACAGCATCCCGCGCGCGCCACGATCGACGAAGCCGATTTGTTTACGAATGCCCGCACGTGTCGGGGATTTGCGCGTATACGTCGCATGCAACGACGCAACCCGGTGCAGAATTATCGATTTATGATGCCCTCGAATCTGTCGCGTGATTAAATTTTCGTTCTATATAATTATCGCGTGCTCGCCCGTTATCTGCGACTCGCGTTTCCCGATGGTCCATTTGCGGCATCTTCGATCGGCCGTTTAAAAATAAATCGATTCGAAAATAATCCCAATTGTAAAATACCGAGATTTGCAGAACAAAAAGACGTATGCAAAGTGGTCGCGATCTTATGTTGCAACCTGAAATTTTTTTTCTTAGCAAAATTAAGCAACGAAAATTTCTTTCCTTTCTTTCTTTTAATTTTATTTAACGTTCTAAAACGTACGGATTTAAAATAATCCGATGTAAATCGCTAGCCTCGTTTTAAACGTAAACAATTTTTCAATGTTAAATATCAATTTAAATTTACACTCGAGACAAAGAATTGGCCGCCTGATACTTTGCGAATCTCCATGCTTCGGTATTACGTGTCGCAAACTCTGTGGAGTCATTTTCAGCAGAGCCAGAGAATATTTTCCGCGAATGAGAGAAAGGACAATTTGAGAATTTCTACGTAATTCGAGGAGAACGTTTCGTGCTCTCTAATCTGCATCAGTTTCACTTGCGACCGCGTTTACGATCACGTGGCCGAGTGATCGCTACTTCGGCCAACATCTCCTTTTCATTCGACCTGTTTTCGCGAGGGGTGATTTCGCAACGTATACATACGTCTCTCTAGTCGCGTTTATCAAAGGACGTGGAAATGCAATCGGCACACACGTACGGACGCACACGCAGCCGAGAGCCTGAGAAACCGGTTAGCCTTAACCGTACCGTGTACGAGTTTCCGTCTCTCTCGCGCGCTATTCTGCTCTATTCGTTCGCCTCTCGCCGTCACGCGAGGCGAGGAGGTAAGCGTGTCAATGCCAAGAATCCTGGGGGGTACTTCGGTAAATGCGCGATTAATTAATTTTGTAATTAAATATATTAATTTAGTAATTAAATATATTTTATTATATATTGTGATTGGTTTAAGATAATATCGAGCAAATGAGACATGAGGGTGAAAGTGATATATTTTAAATGCCCAAGGGGGATGATTCTTATTTACTGTGCGCATTTTCGTATACTTTTTTTTTAAATTAATATAATTTTTCAAATAGACTTAGGGTATTAAAAGTGACAGAAAAAATTTACGTAAATTTTTCTGTCTCCTTATTTTAAATTTTCAAGTCCAGCTTAACTGTTCAACGTGATAAACGATCTATGCGCTAAAGAAGCACGCGGATGATTAGGAATAACATATACATATATATGTATATATATATAGCTAGGTCACGTATAGAAGCCGAACAATGTTAAACCGCTGATTCTGATTATATAAGCACGTGGCAATTAATTCGTCGAGGAGCTGCTCGATTCCAAACAATTTATCCAATCCACGTGAGATTAATCCATTGATCCAAGGGAAAGAAGAGAGAGATGTCCACCAGCATGGTAATACGAACCGTTATTGTGTTCGAAGGGATGTAATTACGATTGTTTGTTACGACGCTAACCCGAGGGATAAATTATATTTGGCATTGCGCCGAATATATTTAATCCAGCTATTTTCAAATCCCCTTTAACGCCAAGCGAGGGAGAGGTGAACAAACCGACCGGTTAAAAATACAAAACAATGGGCCTTATCAATAATCTTGCTGCGCCACCAAACACGTGCCCCACGCATGTTCCTCGTGCATTGATTACGCTCTTCGTAATTGTCGCAATAATTGAAATTTTGCGAATCGCGAACGCGAGAAAATTATTGTCTTGAGAAAAAAAAGAAATGTAATTTGTGCATATATTGTGTATATTATGTATTTATTGCGTAATTAATTTGTACATATGTATTACGTATCATTTTTTTGGCGCATATTTCTGATATTATTGCAAACATATAGCTTACGCATATTCATAAGATAGATAAAAAAATAAAGTAAGATCGACAGGTTGGAACAGAGATAAAAAAATTCGCAGTATAAAACAGAAACATGAAACATGGATATATAAAACGCAATTGACACGATGGGTCGCGAACGACATATCTTCGAATGATATGTTCCCTTGAGAGCGATTTCGTCCGACGGCATATTATTTATGAACGATGCAGACTGCGTCCCACGGTCATCAAAACAGTCGACGTAAAGAATTCCTGCGTGACGGTCGCGTTTGAAATTTATTACTCATCAGTCATCACTGCGCGATACCACGGTCTCTCCCGCGACGCGATCGCATCGATCATCAGGAAGGATAAAAGCGCGAAAACGGAAATTCGAAACGAAGGCCAGGTGTGCTCGGATTGCTCATTGTGCATTTTGAAATGCATGTCGATCACGAGCCGGAGAAAAATTCCATTGCAAGCGGTGCCGATTGTTGTTGGCACATTGACGCATAAATCTATACGTGTATATCGAAGCATAAGCGATCCGATAAGCACTTAAATTTATGTGACAAAAAATACTGCCTACTTTATTAGTATGCATACATAAAAGGATATGATTATTTTAATTTTCTTTAAATTTTATTACAAATTATTTGAATTAGAAATTACTGAAAGTCAGACTATGTCTGTCGATAAGACGAAAACGTTGATAATTTAAAGAAAAGAGACGAAACGTTGTAGAGACGAATAAAATGTTGTAGAAATTTTGATATTTTTCTCCGTTTTGAAAGGCCACTTTTTTTGAGAAAACGATATCAGTTGAGAAAACGATATCATAGCTGTGTTTATATATTGTCGAAGAATCTCCCATCAGTCAAAAATAGCGATCAAAAATTTCGGCGCGCGCAAAAGAGATTAAAAAAACAAAAAAAAAATGCGAATCATATACGCTCACCTGCGTTGCGACTGACTGTTGTCGCTGCAGACGTTGGAGTATCCCGAGTCCGACACCTTGGCATTCTCCACGGATACCTCCTCCATTCTGCTTCTCTTTTCAAAATGCGATTCTCCGTCGAGTGTAAAAAAGGAATGTCAAAAATCGCCCTCACCACGCACACGCACTCACGACAAGTTCGCGACTCATCTCGCCCTTCGCCCTCGTGAGCCCGAATCTGACAGGAAAGACCGTGAGAGACGGGGACCAGAGGAGCAGGAGGAAAAGAAGGAGGAGGAAGATGCGGCGCGTTGGCGGTGTTTCGAATCTCGAGGCGCGCGACGGGGCGGGCGTGCTTGTATGACGCTCGCCGGTTTCCACGCACCGACTGACTCCGTCGGCACGGCTCTCCCGGCCTAGACTCGATCCTCGTCTGCGATAAGTCGGCCGCACGTTCTGAGACACGTGAGCGCGCGGACCACCCGCGCCCACGTCCCCCCGCGCCGCGGCCAACCTATATTGCGGAGGAAGTTATTGCGGCCAGTGTTTCTCGCCTATCTCCACCTCGCTCCATTCGCGCGCTACCCACGGATCGGCGACGACCGAGATAGGGCCAGCACGTTGCGTCGATGATACACCGTGATGCTGACCCTCCGACTCTTGGCATCTTCAAATTTTTTGGGCGACGGAACGATCGCCCAGGTGCAATTTTTAATTTAATTCTTGATCGCTCGAAGGAATTTGGAGGGAAAATATAATTGAATATTGAAATATTGAGAATGAATATCCACAAAGCTAGCGTTTTTATTAATATTAGGCATACGCGTTTGAGATAATCGTTTCTAATAAGGGAAGAATTAAAAAAAAACCATGAGAAGATAAATCGGGAGGTCGGCGCATCGCCGTGTCCTCACTACTGTACGCCATCGATGTCTGACCGCGGCTACTACTACTGCGACTCGTCCGTGTTTGCGCGTACCTCACTACTGAATCCTGTCTGACCGCGGAGGGTTGGCGCACCATGCCCTTACTACTGTGTGCCCATCGATGTCTGACCTGCGGCTATTACTACTTATTTACTACCGCGAGTCATCCGTATTTATACTTTTACTACTGCGAATCCGACTTTATCTTTACTTTTACTATCGAGCTCCAAGCTTGGATATCTTTTCCGCTTGAAAATGTGTTTTCGGAGGAACGACATGTAGATGAATTATTTAAAATTATTTCAAATCTCCATACTAAATGCCCTTTTAATTCTCTAATCGATTTTTCCGAGGATTTTTCCTTTGCGAAAATGTCAAGGAAAACCATTTATTATATAATTTGTTTTGTTCGTATTAAATTATATCAAATACGTTTTTAATCTCTAATATATTAAATTTGTTATGTTTTGCATCATTTATATATTATATTTTTTTTGCAACCTCTATGTCTCGAATTCGTATTCTTTTATTAGAAAGAGTAAATTCCATTTAAAAATAACAAGACTTTTAAATATAGAGAAGCGATAAAAACCCCGTCGTCACCCATTTATTTAATAGAGGCATATATATATTCAAAACGAGAATTTATCTTGAAAAATAAATAAATTAAGTGAATACAACCAGTAACTGTGGCAAAAGTATAATTTAATATACATAATCTGTAAAACTTTTCTCCCCATATACAATCTCGTAAAAATATAATAATCTTACACCGAAAGATAGAAATATCACAGTCTTCAGGTACAGTGCTTCGTGGAATCCTCGCGGTATCCTGAAAACGAGAAGAACACATGTCAGATTATCGGTTCAATTAGTCAGCTTTAAAGACAGTATCAATTAGATAAAATCGATACAATAAACGATTCGACAGTAAACTATAAAGAAAAAAAAAGATCAAGTGAAAGAGTCAGTGTTTTGGGGTTTATTGCGTATTTCATGTGTATTTGATATCATCAAAGAAAAACAAGTCACAGTTACAGTCCTCTGGGACACCATCCGGTCAATACAGTAAGAGTCTAACGCACGGCGGTACAAAAAAATGTGTGTCCATCATAAAACGTTCAATGTTGTGCGTCGATCACTGGGTGTGTGACGAGGTTGTCGTCTGATTTCGTAAATGATGGATATCGGGTAAACGGTTTTTGCCGGGAAATATCGTCTTTTCTTGTTTCTTTCTTTTGTCGTTAAACCTACGCTCCCTTTCCTCTCTGTCGTGCTTCTAAACGAAAGACAGTCTACATGCCTGTACATTTCACTCGTTACATTAATTGCTTCCAAAACAAGATTTATACTCAATATTAAATCAGAAATTAACGTAATATTGAGCACTATCTTACATTAGTATCGGATTCTTTCTTTTATAAAAATTTTCTTATTGTTTGTGTATTAAAACTCATATCACTGAATTTTCTCGATAATTTTTTTTTCATAATATATTGTTCTTAATAAAAGTATTTTTATACGTATCGAAACCTTTTTTGAAACGCAAAAATTACAGATTAAATTTTTATTGATTAAAAATCAAGTTAAATTTTTATTAATTAAAACTTTAATTAATAAAAAATTTTTACTAATTAAAAATTTAATAAGTAACGTGCGGCAAAAGGCGCCATTCGACCAGATGTCTTACAATTTTATTACCAAGCATCAATAAGTTAAAATATTTTATACAAATATGAGTCAAACATGACAAAATTATATACGACATGACATATTATATGACATTGATATCAAATAACAATTTTGTCTTCTGTCATCATCGTAGCGTAAAATAAGACTTTTATTGATGTCTCAATAATATATCTTGTTTTGGAATTACGTTTTGGCCCGCAATAACTTTTAACTTATCGTCGTAAAAGTCAATGGCGTATAAAGTACAAATTATTTTGCTTCTTCTCTCTGCACGCAATATAACTATAAAAGAAAAGTACAGAAATTTAATCATAAATAAAAGGTCTCTCTCTTTGTTAAACCTAAGGCGTTTACACCTAAAAGCCTATGCGAACGGTTAGTCAGAGATTGTTCTCATGGACATGATTGTTCTCATGGACTTCTCACAGAGTTGTCAACGCTTAATTTAAAACGATATGAGATGCAAACACTTCGAACGGTTCATCGTTCGCGTCGTGAATGTGTCGTCATTAATCGTCGACATTTCGGAGAAGTGCAAAGCTAGAGATTAAAAGATCAGGGGAAGGGTACAAAAAAAAAACGTATTAGTCATATATATATATGCGAGAAACAGTCTGGGAGACAAATCGGTCTGTGCACCTCGTCAAAATGTACGCGCGCTATTACCTCCTTCGTGCGTGGTCAATGTCCAATGAAGGAAGAAGGTGTACATGTTCGCATATTTCCAAATGTGAAAAGGGACTGCTCTTCACATAGGTACACAGTTAATAGGCGCTCAACAGCTTATCGGCCGTTCGCACAGGCCTCTTAAAGTAACAGAAACACGGGTCGTCCGCGCGCGCAACGTATCGTGTGTGAACGGACATGTAAGAGGATTAAAAAAAAAAAAGTAATAGTAGTAGTATAGTAGTAGTAGAGTAGCAGTTAAAGGTTTCAGTAACGTAGAGAGTTGCAGCTGCGCGAACGTTAAGCGAACAGTTAAATATATATAGGTAGGTAGTCGGAGTAGTTTTCCCTGGATGCAGGCCCTTGGATGTGGTCAAGTGAGTAGTAGTCTTTAAATTCGTCTCTTTTTTGTTGCGTGCGTCCGGCTTGTGTATACCAGTCAGTCTGTGAAGATAAACAGCAAACATTACATTTTCTCCTGCCGTTTTTCCCCCCCTGCCCGAGGAGGAGGAAGAGGAGGAGGAGGTAGAGAGCGAGATAGAGACAGAGAAAGAGAGAGATAGAGAGAGAGAGAGAGAGAGAGAGAGAGAGAGAAAGAGAGAAGAGTGAATAGCGTCGGTAAAACAACGTCTCTCGGGGTGTACTACGGACTATTACAAAGAAACGCCTCTCTTTTCCTTCGCGCCAACAACACTACGCTACTCGTCTACTACTTACGAGATACGCATTTTTATTAGAAAACACGTTCAATTCTCGTCCTCATCCATTCGTAGCCGTTTCCGTCGATCCTCGCCGACGTTTCGCTCCTCCGCCTCCAGCACTTTCAGCCGGGAGCCACAGATCTCTTGACCGTGCAGGACCTGTGAGAGCGTATTTTGAATTTAGAATTACCTTGAATTCGTGTCGCGAATACGAATGACTTGGAATATGCGCGGTGAAAAAAAAAAACGAACGAGCGCAATACCTCGATGGCTTCGTTCGCGCTGCTGATGCTGGCGTATTTCGCGTATCCGCAATTCTTGCCGGGTAACATATATACATCTATGAGACTCCCGAACCTACAGAATGCGTCCTTCATAGCGTAAATGGGCGGCACCGGTGGACCGCATACGATGAAACACCTCTTGGCGACCTCGGCGTCTATACTCGCCATCGGTTGTACCGGTGGTAGCTTGACGGATATGTGGTCTAAGCCTGAAGTGAGAAACGGCAACGATCACTTGACGTATACAATGTATATCATTTCCATTTGGCGCCGTCGTGCGCGCACACACGGCGAGAGATGTCGTCGGGTGTACTCACTCGGTGCCGTCAGACCCGCGGCCTGAATCAACGACGTGGCTTGAGCAATGGTCTCCGCCAGATGCGCCAGATCCGTCCTCGCGCTGGCGACGCTGCCGGCGGTCGAGCCGCCGGGTTTCGACGCGCTCTTGGGCGGTGCGCTCGTTAAGTCGGGCTTGACGATCATCCGGTGGCCGGGCGGATACTCGAAGCCGTGGAACTTCTCGCGCGCGTACGCCGCCGCGCTCGGATTGTTGTAGACCACCACCGCCTGGCCGCGCGGCATCCTGTATCTCACGTCGGTCTTCAAGTGACAGTAGTCCATCCCGGGCACTATGTCGAACAGCTTCCACAGCTGGTCCTGATTCAGGGCCGGATGCGCGATCACCTGCAGGCGCGTGTAGCCCTCGGAATTGGAGTAGTTGGTGGCGATCTCCAGGCTGATGCTGCTCTTGCCGAAGTTCGAGGAGGTGCCGTAGCTGCCGCCGGTGCCGTCGTACGCGGCGCCGGACAGCCCGTTGTTGTACTTGGCGTCGTTGTGCTCCGGCTTCGGCTTCTTCGGCTCGGCGAACACCGCCTTGTACTTCCTGTCGCACTCCTCGAACGCCCGCGCCGCGCTCGACACCTTCTTGAACTTGACGTAGCCGAAGCCCTTGGACTCGTTCGTGCTGCGATCCTTCACGACGGTCGCGTACTCGATCGCGCCGAACTTGGAGAACTCCTGCTGCAGCTCGCTGTCGGTCATTGTTTTCGGTAACACGCAGAACAGGCGAACCCACCTCTCCTCCTCGTTTGTCTCCCGCACGGAACCCTGATCCCGACTGCGAACAGTCGTCGGAGGGAAAAAAAAAACGAGAACACGCCGGTTAGGAGCCAGATATACACGGAGCATCGAAAGGGGCATATGAAAAAGCGAAACGGGAGGTGCTTACTTCGAGGCGATCATCACTTTGATAGGTCTGCCGACGGAGCCCAGCATCTTGCCGTTCATCTCCTCCAGGGCGAACGCCGCCTCCGACGTTTTCGAGAACTTGATGTACGTAACACCTGGGGGGGAAGGGACAAACGAGCGGTTAGTAAGGTTAAACACCGGCGTGACTGGCGTGAGTGCGCCGGGAAGAGCAGCAACGCGGAAGAAATACCGTCTCCGGCGGGAAACAGAAATGCCGCGCGTTTTTATCGTCAAAGGGGAAAGAAAGAGTGATTTTTTTTCTCAATGAATATCGCTTCGGAGCTTAATCGATTTTGACTTTTGTGTACGGAGCACGGGGCAGCGCGCGCGGGATCACCTTTATTTTCGCCCGTGTTACGATCCTTAACCACCCAGATGTCCTCGATCTTGCCGAACTTCTCGAACGCCTTCCTAAGGTCATCCTCCTCGAGGCTCTTGTGGCAGATGACGAAGAGCCGCGAGTTCGGCGGGTCGTCGTTCTTCGAGCGCAGATCCGTCTGCGAGTAGTAATCCCGTTCCCTGTGGTCGGCCATGTTTTTCCAAACGATCAACACGAGCGCTGCCGCGAGCGCGGACTATCTACCCGTGTCTACTCGCCGTCCCGTCTACGGGCCTCTCGCGAATCCCGCTGCCCGCATCGCAATCGGCCGACGCGCGCGAAGACGCGCCGCGCCGCCGACGGAGGGGTGTCCCTCTCTCCGCGTCCCTTGCCCGCTCACGCGACCGGTATATAATATATATCCTTTGGACAAGATTAATTTTATCCTCGCGCATTTGCGAGAATTTTGCGATTTGCGAGAAATAATCCCGCGCGCGTCTAAATATATAAAAGTATCTCTTTATTAAGGAACGTACGTATATATAGGGAGACTCCGAAAGAAGAAGTTCACTGATTATAATTATGATTGTAATAATCCTGGAACGCTTGAGAAATATAAGATTACCGTGGAGTCCACCGTAGGCTTCCAAAGAATTGAATTTTAATTCTTTTTTTTTTTATATACTTAGTTGGCAAACAGGAGTAAAACCTCGACGTATTTATCTCGATAAGTCCATCAACAAGAACAAGAAAAAAGAGAAACAAAAGCGATTATATTCTTTTCGAGCTGCATGACGTCAGAGCTACTCCCTGGAGTAGCGAGACAGATATATGTCTACGGAGGAGAAAGAGAGAGGAGAATCGTAGGAAAGTGCAGCTGGCTCGGACTCGCGCGTTCATTGCCTGACATTTAAACGCGATCCGGCGCGATTCGGAATTTTGTTTGTCTCGTGCGATGTTACCTCTCAGAGGGGGGAGGAAAAGAACAAAAAAAGACGAGCTCTCTCCGAAGACCCCAGAACCTCAACGCGAAAGATCACCGGGGATTCGATCGCGTTCGATCGCCGGCGAGTCGCAAAGAGAAAAAAAAAACGGGATGCGCAACTGTCGGCGAGACTCGAGATATCTCTGCTTCCTCCGCGGAATTACGCGGCGAACAGCGAATGAAACTATTTCCATCGTCGTTCCTCGTATTTTTGGAATTTAACGGACAAGATCTAATTTTTGACGCTGCCGCGTTAACACATATGCTTATGTAATCGAAATATAAATAAAAGCTTAAGTGCTATAAAACGCGAGATGTTGATCGCGTGTGTATTTAAATATGAGTTACGAGTTTTATTTGCATTTCGATACGTATTGTACATAAACATTGTATCGAAGCGCGCATTATGCGTATCACACGTGCCCGGCCTCCGGTGTTAAATAAAATTATGGCTAATAATATTCCCTGAAAAAAAAAAGAGCGCGGCATCAAAGGAAGTATCGAGGTCAATCGGTTTTGCTGGAAAAAAAAAATGTCACGTTAATGATTTTGCATACACTCGGTACGAATTAATAAATCATTAAATCGCGCGTCAGGTTGGAGCCGCGATGTGTCGAACGGTCGAGAAATCTTAAGTTAAGAGGGACTCGAAGCGCGTCTCGAAGCCGGCCGCCGAGAGCTATGAATTTCCCCGTTAATCGCGAAATCGCGTTACGGCAGAGAGCGAGCGCGCGTGAAAAATCGGGTTGCGCAAAACTGCATCCCGCTTCGTGCATCGCGTTTCGTAAAACCGCGCGGGGGGGGGGAGGAGAGAAAACGTTTGCGGCGTTGCGACTGAAAGTGTCATGCTCCAATATTTTTCGCGTGCGCGAGGAGCGTTGTTGTTGACGAGAGGCGGAGGAAGAGAAAATGTGCATGTAACGACGAGGATGTTCGCCGCGGCGCTGTACAAGCGGCGTTTCACTAACTCGGGGACGACCCCGAGCGAGCGAGCGAGCGAGCGAGCGAGCACGCGCTCGTCCCCGTCTCGTCTCCACGCCGCTCTCCCGCCCGATTTCCCATCTCCGTTACGTTATTCTCGCGCGTCGGTCCCTGGAACGAACGAACGAAAGAGAGAGAAAGAGACGCGTTCGCGCTCTTCGCAGTTCCGCCTTGTTACCGCCTCTAGAAAAAGAGAGGGATCAGAGTCCACAAACAAATGCCGTTTGCCGTTCGATTATGCGACGCATAATTCTTCGGAGCCGACAGCGTTTACGGAGTCGCCTACTCGTCGACATTTGCAATCAGGCAACGTCTCATGCGGATTGCGTAACGTCTCCCCTACTTCTCCGAGTCCGTTGTCGTGTTTCCTAAAATATACGTGGTAACCTGCGTGGAACGTAGTGTGTCGCGCGCATACGAGAGCCGTGATCCCCACGAAATAAACGTCGCGTTTGACGACGCGAAAGCATTCTGCGGAGGAAAAAAATACCTCTAAAAGAAAGACATCTCATTATTTATTCTCATTCATGTGTATTCCTTTCAGAAAGGAATCCTCCAGATAAACTTTCAAATATACTTATCATTAATTAACATCTATAAAAAAATATAATTTTCTCTTTTTTTTAGCCTCCGCGAGCTTTTTTGTATCTATAGATATTTATAAAAATATATTTATCCAGAAACAGACAGAATATTTGAAAAGAGAATATCAGATATTTTTCATTAACAATATAAATATACACACACACACACGATTTCTGTCAATTGTATGAATCACTTAGATCGCGTCGTTTCTTCGTTATGTCGCAGCTACGTAATCAAACGCATTAAATTGCATTCATAATCAATCGTATTTTTTATCACAATTGTATTGTCGCATCTCTATGTTGTGTGTTCGTGTTTGTCAGGCGAATGTAATACCGCGAGATTTTTTATGGATTTACGCGTCATACGTGGAAGCGGATACTTTCCCGCCGTGTCCGGTCCAATTCGTGTGAACGAACTTCCCTTCCTGGCCGAGCAGCTCGTACGTGTGAGCGCCGAAGTAATCCCGCTGAGCCTGCAGCAGATTCGCCGGTAATCGGGCGGTTCTGAATCCGTCGTAGAACGCCAGAGCCGTCGATAGGGCAGGAGTCGGTATGCCCATCGTTACGGCGGCGCTCACCACCGTCCTGGCGCTCCGGTGGCACACGTCCATCGCCTTGGCGAAGAAGTCGTCCAGCAATAAGTTGGATAACTTCGGGTTTTTATCGTACGCCGATTTTATGTTTCCCAGGAATGCGCTGCAAGGAAATTTTTAATTAATATCCCGACAATATGAGTGTCCAAAGAATAGATAAGAGATTCTTGAGATGTCTTTGAGATGCCTTGACACACTTGTCTATGATTTTTTTTCTAGGTACACAACACGATTATTTGAATGTTACATTTCAATAAAATATATCTATTATAATAAATATATCAATTATAAAAGTATATTATAGTGAAAATATCAATTATAAAATATATTCATTATAAAGTATTTCTTATTTGGAGTAACGTGCAAGATCAATCAATCAACTTGTAGTCCCGATTCTTATTTTATGTATATCTCGATTTTATATAAGGTAACTCATTTAATCAGCGTTTGAAAGAAACGAGAGCTCGTCAGTTACTGTTAAATTAAATATGAAATGCCCCCGAGAGATATTCTGTAGCCTTGACACTTGTATTTCATTGTCATTTGTTTTAAAAGGAAAAGTAGGTCGCTACTGAAAAGAACCGACGTGACATTGACGTAAGTAATCATGAATTCGAAAGCCACATGAATTTTTCCAAATACCTACCTTCTAATAATGCATCCACCACGCCACATCAACGCTATTCCACCGTAGTTCAAGTTCCAATTGTGAACCTTGGCGGCTTCTCTCAGCAGCATGAAGCCTTGCGCGTACGAGATAATTTTCGCGGCGTACAGGGCCTTTCTCAGGTGCTCGAGGAACTGTTCCTTGTCGCCCTTGTACACCGGATCCGGGCCGGAAAGCACCGCGCTCGCCTCGACGCGTTCGTTTTTCAGCGCGGACAGGCATCTGGAGAAGACCGACTCGCCGATGAGCGTGACCGGCACGCCGTAATCTAACGCGGCGATCGCCGTCCACTTGCCGGTGCCCTTCTGGCCGGCGGTGTCTCTGATGCGCTCGAGCAGATGGCCCTTCCCGTCCTTGTACCTGAGGATGTCCCGCGTGATCTCGATGAGGAACGAATCCAGCTCGCTCCTATTCCACTCGTCGAACACCGCGCCCATCTCCCCCGGCGTGAGCTGCAGGCCGCTTCGCATCAGGTGGTACGCCTCGCAGATGATCTGCATGTCGCCGTACTCGATGCCGTTGTGCACCATCTTGACGAAGTGCCCCGCGCCGGTCTCGCCCACCCAGTCGCAGCACGGCTCTCCGTCAGCTTTCGCGCATATCGACTGCAAGACGAGCACAATTTTGTATCGTGCTTCCGTGCGTGTTATAAATTCGAGCAATGATAAGTTAAGCAACGGTAGGTTTTTCGTACTTGGAAGATAGGCTTGATGTGCGGCCACGCTTTGGGATTGCCACCGGGCATCAAGGACGGTCCGTGTCTGGCGCCGTCCTCACCTCCGCTGACTCCGCTGCCAACGAAGAGAATTCCCTTCTGCTCCAGATCCTTGGTACGCCTCTCGGTGTCCTGATACTCCGAGTTGCCGCCGTCGATGATGATATCGCCAGCAGAGAGAAGGGGCACTAACTGTTCGATAAAGGCATCCACGGCTGCGCCAGCTGTTATATCAGAGCGAGCTCGTGTCATTTATAATTACAGTTAGAGATCTTGAACTGCGATAACGGAAGCTTGCCTTTAACCAGCAACATCACTCTCCTTGGGCTCTTCAGTGTACTGACCATCTCCTTCAAGCTGTAAGCGCCGATAACTCTCGTGCCCTTAGCTTCGTTCTCGAGGAAAGACTTGACCTTGTCTACCGTGCGATTGTACGCGCACACGACGAAGCCGTGATCGTTCATGTTCAGAATTAAATTCTGTCCCATGACCGCCAGGCCGATGAGGGCGATATCTGCCACCCTGGAAAACATAAAAAAATCGTGCAAAATCCATTTAAAAAAAACGAAATACCAAATCTTAATCACCTTGTATGTACTTTTATAAAACGATAGAATTCGTTTCGGTCTTTGCTACTCTTCTTTCTCGGCTTTTTAATGGCATCGGATTCTTGATTAGAATTAACTTTAACTGAATGAACGTAAAAGAATGTAGCTGAAAAATACTCACGGGGTGCTCATATCTGCAGAGGATTCTTAGACGGGATCAGACGACGAAAAATCGAGGCTGGATATTGTCACGCGTGAGGTTTGACTGCAACGAACGCCGCGACAGGAGCAAGTCAAACAAGTGGTCGGCCGCTTCTCAGAAGTCAGATCGTTGATTGTCCGTTGAAGGACGTGCAGGACGTACGGTTGAAGCGGCGTGCTTTGCAGCGGTCAGCCGACGCAACGCGAGCCAATCGCGATGCTCGAGACCACGTCGCCCGTTTCAGAGGAATTTACGATAACGATGATGCAGCGTTAATACGCACGCCGCCACGCGACCGGCTTCGACACGGGACTTATCTAATCTGATCCCGCGGCCGCGCCGAAAGTTCCTCCGAAGAACTCCTTCGGCGATGCCGAACGACACAAACGGCTTTTGGTTAAATAAACACGACACGTGTCCCTTCCCGGAAACGTCGGAAATTTCCCCATAATAATCCTGCGGGAATTATTTGAATTTCGTATATTTCTAGAGCAAATAATCCGAATGTGATGTGAGGAGAGGCAAGATTCGTTTCCTTTAAAACAACGTTCTCGAGAGCGAGAAGGCCCTGCGATTAGAAATTATATTTTTTTATATCGAAAATATAGTCGGACTCTTACTTAAAAAAACTTTCGAGAAACTTTCGGAAAATCGTATTGCGAGTCCCTTCGGAAATCGTAAAAGTTATTGGAAAAATATATGAACTAATTCTATTATCGCGGTGTTACACTTGTGAGAGAACACGAGAAGTGCGTATCGTTTGATGCCATGCGCATGATGTATTATTTTATCTTTGTTCACCGAATGTTAAACAAGGATAACAAAACACCACGCGCATCGCACGTGAAAATGGAACGCACTTGAATATCACCTGAGGGCTGAGACAGAGAGAAGCGTGAGAGGCCATGCCGGCTTGTTGGTGGACCGACGATCTCCTCCGTTCACTAGCGCCTCATGTCCACGTTTTCAAAAAAGGAACTACGTACCACGTCTATCTTGTAACATTGTCGATCAAATCATAGCATTAAAACGTGGTTCGTGTCCGTGCTAATCGTTAATTAAATATAAGACTGTAAAATTTCCGCGCCTATATAAATGAACACTTTTCGGGTATCGCCAACGTTCTAATTAATAAATAATAAACTTGTTAAATATCTCGCGCTCATTTAAACTATCACATTCCGGGTATCGCCAACGTTCTAATTAATTAATAATAAAATTGTTAAATATCTCGCGCCTATTTAAACGATCACGTTTTGGAGCTCGCAATCGACTTTGTTAATTAAATGTAAGACTATAAAATTTCCGCGCCCATATAAACGAACACTTTTCGGGTATCGCCAACGTTCTAATTAATTAATAATAGAATTGTTAAATATCTCGCGCCTATTTAAACGATCACGTTTCGGAGCTCGCGGTCGACTTTGTCATTTTAATATAAGACTGTAAAATGTACACTGTTAAATGTATAGTATAAAACTAAACCTTATTTAATTAGTCGCCACTGCTCCTATAATTAATAAATAGTTATTTTAAAATAAAACAATAAAATCTAACTCAAATTTGGGTTAAATTTAAACTGTTTTAAATTTAACTCCATTGTTTAAGTAAAAAAGAACTATTTATTAAGTAAGAGCAGTGGCAACTTAAATAAGGTTCTGTTTGACACTATATAGATTTAACAGTGTAAAATTGAAATTAAATCTTATTTATTATTCTAATTATATATCAAAGAATACTTAAAATTTTTATTTATTCTATCTTGTTAATCTTCAGTCAATCACAGCGGCTTCCTATGCAAAATAATTAATGATAATTGTAGTGACGCTGCCGCGCCGCACAAATGCACACGCCATTAGTACGGCGGGCGCCGCACAAGTGCACGCGCCATTAGTACGGCGAGCGCCTGTATGTATATGTACATACATACAGCGTCGTACAGCGTGCGGTAGCACGCTACCCGTCGTACAGCGCGTTTTCTCGAAACCACATACAAACACGTCCCATCGGATTGTGCTGAAGAGTCTGCGAGTATTTCAGTATCAAAGGTAGCCCATCACATGATTTTTCTCCGAAACGGCTGCGGTGAAAAAATCGGGATAGGCGCGATTAATTAGTTACTAAACAGAAATTAATTTTTATGCACGTCTCATCGGATTGTGCTGAAGAAGCTGCGAGTATTTCAGTATCAAAAGTAGCGCATCCCATGAGTTTTCTTCGAAACGGCGGTGAAAAAATCGGGATAGCTGCGACTAATTAGCAACTAAACAGGAGTTTATTTCTACGCAAGTCTCATTCAATTGTGCATGATGAGTCTACGAGAATTTCATTATCAAAGTTAGTTCTTTTGTTTTTTCTGAGACGGCTGGAAAAGAAACTTGGTATTTGCACTATTAATTAGTTATTAATAAGAAGGTAATTTAGTCTTCGACGGTAGGAAGTTTCTTTTTTAGAAATTTTTATTTTGATTGAGTGGCTACGAGGTCTGCATTCTCAAAGTTAGCGCATTATTTTTTCCGAAACGGCTGCTGCGAAAAAATTGGGATGTGCGCGAGTCCTTTTAAAAAATCTGACCGTATTTTGCTTATTTTACGAAGCGGGCCCTTTAAAAAATCTGGCGGCGTTTTGGTTATTTTTTACAAAACGGACTTGAGTCCATTTAAAAATCTATGCCTATTCGGCTTATTTTACAAAATCTCCGATCGTCAACATCGACCAACACCGCCAATTAGCATCGCGGAAAAGAATAACAATAAGATACGATTAAGACGAACTTCGTAGTGCACATGTCTTTTTTTATTATGGATGGTTGAATGGATGGATGGATGGAAAAGAATACGAAGTCAAATTAATCCAAAATGTATTTAATTGTCATAATATTCGGTAAAAGTGGAACAACCTTATTAAAATAAGAGAACCGCCGATTAAAGTAGATGCAGGGGAAGAGCCTCTACAGATTGATTCACTTTTATCGAATAAATCTTCCATAAAGGAGCGACGAGAAATTTAGTTGTAATTAGTAAGAAAAAATGGAGCTAATCACAGTAGAGTTTGAATTTCATTTCTGGAATAAATTGTATCGGATAATATCGTTGAATAGCTGATTATGTAATCAGCCAACTCATCTGACATGTATCTTGATTATCTGACAATTTCTTGTTTCAAAAAACAAAAATGTTATACTTAGGAAGCTAAAGATTCAACATTCCATAAAGTCTTGTGATTGACTGAAGATTAAGAAGGTAAAAAAATAATAATTTAAGTACTCTTCGATATAGTTAGAATAATAATATATAATTTCCTCTTTATAAAAATACATATCTCTCATACTTATGCATACATACAAAATATTCTTATATATTATTACATATTGTATACTTTTGTTTAAAAATATACTTTTATACTTTTATTTAAAAAAACTTCCATTTAAATAAAATATGATAACAGAGACGTAATATGCATAATATTACAATAACGCTGTATCAAGAATATTTTTATTAAAATTAAATAAAAAGATATTAAAATAAAACGTTCTTATTTTGTTTGCACAGAGCATCATTTTTTCTAATACTATATATTCACAATATATGCATGTTTTCAGTCAACGTATCAAAAATAAACTAACATCATTCATTAGCAATGATTTAGTATTAAAATGATGAAAAATTGTCGAACCAAGAACATGATATATAAACAACCTATATACAATCAAATAAAGTGATAATTTCGCCATCGAACATTTTAAAATAAAATTTAATGGTACAAATGTAAATATAATCATATAAAGCAATATCTTATTTTTTTATTTTAAATTTATTTAATTTATTTTAGTGAAATTTTAAATTTAAGATATAATTGTATTATCTTAAATTAATGATATAATTTTCTTTTTACTTTCTAATGTAAAAAGAAAATTATATACATTGTGTTAAATCTCATGTTGTAACACAAAATTTAAATTCTTTTCTATTTACAAGTTTGCTGTTATATCGATAAAGTTTTGCTATATATACTTTTGTACCATAAAATTGCATTGTTATAATAATTTCATATTAAAGCTGTAAATACTTGAAGAACACATAACTATAGATTATTAAATATGTTAATGTAACTATCAAATTAGGAAATTAAAGATTATTAATATTTTTAGAGAGGCGATTGAGTTCCATTGCAATAGATTCGGGTAAATCGTTTCCTACTTGAGCGTCAAAATATTCCCTCAAATCTTCAACTTCCTTCTGCCAGAAAGTTTTCGGTAGTCTGAACAATTCCGTCATGTTTACATTATCCCTGAGATTTTCTAAATTGATAGATCCCTCTTTTGGCAATAGACCGATGGCCGATTCCTCGGCAATATCTTCGCCGTCGATCCTTCGAAGAATCCAGTCCAGGACACGTGAATTTTCACCGAATCCTGGCCACAGGAACTTGCCGTCCGAATCTTTCCTAAACCAATTCACGTGAAATATCGCTGGCAATTTGGCATTCTTCGCGTGCGCCATACTCAACCAATGGGCGAGATAGTGTCCAAAATTATAACCAAAGAAGGGTCTCATGGCAAACGGATCGTGCATGATTACTTTACCCTACAAAAATACGTTGAATTATTCGTTTAGTAATTTAACAGTCTATAGCTCTCTAGTTCTTTTATAAATCTATAATGTATTTTAAGTTTACATAAAAATTTGTATTTGTTCTCTCGTCCCGTTTGATCAAAATAATTAAATTTGCATATGCAGCAGAGACAAACGTTAATGTACCTTGTGTTCGGCAGCGGCTGTAGCTTCAGATCTCATTGCAGCACCGATGAAAACGCCATGCTGCCAGTTTCGGGCTTGATAAACCAATGGTACACCCTCGGGTCTTCGTCCTCCGAATAGTACAGCATCGATCGGGACTCCAGCTGGATCTTCCCAAGAAGGATCAATGATGGGACATTGCTTAGCTGGAGAACAGAATCTTGAATTTGGATGAGCAGCTGGTATTTTAGAACCTCTGAACCAGTCATTGCCTCTCCAATCTACCACCTGCGACAAGATGAAAATGTTGCATATAACTTAACGTACTTACACAAATTTTTAATCAGGAGTAATGCTATACTAAAATTAATTAAAATTCACGGATATTTAATACTTTATTAAAATTCAAACATTGAATTAAAATGATACAAGAAATAATCATGCAAAAAGAGTTTTACAAAAAGTTATTAAATAAAAAACATTTGAAATTTTTTTGCAATTTTTTTGTATTATATTATATTATTTAATTTAACAGTTGCTCACACAGACAGGCATCGTTTTATCGACCATACCTTGATATTATCTGCGACTTCTTTTTCCATTCCTTCCCAATACACTCCTCCATCGCTGGTAGACGCTACATTAGTGAAGATGGTATTTTTGAAAATAGTTTTCATAGCATTGGGATTCGTGGCCGAACTCGTGCCGGGAGCGACTCCGAAAAATCCATTCTCCGGATTAATAGCACGTAAATTCCCTTTGTTGTCGAATCTCATCCACGCGATATCATCGCCTACGCATTCGATCTTGTAACCCGGCAAAGTAGGTTGCATCATAGCCAAGTTCGTTTTACCGCAAGCGCTCGGGAAAGCGGCGGCGATATATCGTTTTTTACCCTTAGGATTTGTTATACCCAGTATCTGAAATGGAAAATTGCATATTCTGATTACATTTGTAAAGAGAGAATTTTTAATGCAAAAATCTTGCCGTAGCTCTCATATTGCAGCCGTACGTGTTGGATTATTAAGTTAGAAGCAAAAAATCATATGAATTAAATAATTTAATTAAATAATAATAAAGCACTAGCTTTCATATCTCTAATTAAGAAACAAGAAGAATAAATTATGTATAACGGAAAGATATAAAAAAAGAAAACGTACGAGCATATGTTCAGCCAGCCATCCTTCTTTCCTGGCTATCGTCGAGCCAATTCGAAGCGCAAAACATTTCTTTCCTAATAAAGAATTACCACCGTAACCACTTCCATAGGATACAATCTCATTCTTGGCAGGTTTGTGAAGGATAATCGTTCTTTCGGGATCGCACGGCCATGAGTGACTTATGCCGACTTTTGAATTATTTTTCGGTACACCCACCGAGTGTAAGCATTTAACGAAGTCATCATTTCCCAGGGCTTCGAGTACCTTTTCTCCCATTCTAGTCATTATTCTCATCGAGCAGACCACGTAAGCCGAATCGGTAATTTCTATGCCAATTTTGGAGAGTGGGGAACCGACAGGTCCCATACTGAAGGGAATCACGTACATGGTGCGTCCTGTGTAACAAAAATCTAGTCTTATCGTCGCGTTCATGTAGTATTAAATAATTTTCAGTTATTTATACAAAAATCTAATTATCGTCGTATTCATGTAATATTAAATAATTTTCAATTATTTATACAACTATTATTTATGGTACATATTTAAGGCATTGTTCACATATAGTTTGCGCAGTATAATATGTTTTGAAAATCGATAGTAAATCATAAATTAATACAAAAATTTCTGCTAACCTTTCATACAACCCGGAAAACGTTCCAAAATCGCCTTTTCCATATCGTTAGGAGAGATCCAATTTCCAAGCTCTCCAGTTACACCTTTACGTGGTGTAGGAATAGTATCGCTTTTCAAGTCGGTACTGATGAACGTACGTTTTTCGACGCGTGCCACATCCGCAGGATTAGTCTTTGCCAACCAGCTGTTATGTAAAATGCATTAATTTAAACATAATAAATAAGTAAGCTTTTAATATCGAGGTGTATTGAGGTATATGATTAATTTAATATGCTCTAAGAATCGCATACGAATTATTCTTCTTCTTGTGTTTAAAAAAAAATTATACTTTGTTAAACAATGTAATTAATGAAATAAATTATAAGAAAACGATTTCTATCCATAATTCAGGAAAGCTCGGGATTACTTACCAATTTTCATATTTAGGTAAACTTTCGATAGTTCCACTTTTCTGAAGAATGTTCAGCATTTGCATATATTCGACGTCCGTGCCATTGCATATATAAATATCTTTAGGACTGCACAGCGAAGCACATTCCTCGATGTAGTAGCGAAGTTTGGATGAGATATCTATCGTGCATGCGTTTATCAGCGGTATTTTACCGATATAATCGAATCCATGTTTGAGCGACGGATTTTTTGCGGCGTGAGTTACGATAAATCTTGGAATTCTGAAAAGGCATAATGATGTTAAAATAATACTAAACAAAGGTAACGTCATAAATAAAAATATGTCCTAATTTTAGTTGTTGCAAGTATATCAAATATGTTATATATTTTTTATATTTTTTCATCAATAAATTATTTAATACACAAAGGTAACCCGATCAAAAAACGAGCAAAATAGAGTGTGACATCAAAAATTGCTATTAATAAATAATTTTAATGTCAAAGAATAAGACGTTTCGGATTACAAAAAGTCCTCTTCGGTTATCCATATAATTAAAATAGTCATATTTTAATTATTCGTTATATAATAATTATTTTAATTAGTATAACTATTTTGATTATGGATAACTAAGGAAAACTCTATGTAGTTCGAAATGTCTTATTCTTTGACATCAAAATTAATTATTAATAGTAATAGATGGTGATTTGATATTGCATTCTACCTTGCTCGTTCTTTGGCTGAGTTACCTTTATCTATTTGTTTTTCAAACACGAGCTAGATATTATTGATATTGATTTAAGTTGTTATTTAATGTATAATAATAATTGAGCAGCTTTTTAAATTATAATTTTATATATATTTTTTACGCGTATATCTTCTTTATGAGCATGCGTGCGATTCATTATTTAGATTAAAATTCTATAATCACACTACAGTTCACGTAAATTGAAATAAAGAATTAATGAATTTCTCGTCTCTATGTTTTTAGATCCAAGTTTTAACTTATACAAATTTTTAAATTAAAAATTCTAATTTAATGATTTTAGGGTGCTCTGTACATGCGAGATATATTTAACAACAAAGCGAATTAAACGGAAAATTAATTAAAAAAGGTCTGTGAATCTACGTCGTTCTTTCTCCAACGTCTGTTTCGTGTTTTAATTGACAGCGAAATTATTGTCTCTTTATTAAAAAATCGAAGCAAGTGGGCACTTACTGGGAATGTTTGATTTCGACGGCGTGCGGCATTCTGCGGGTCTTTTCGGTCGTGAAGATGGACGGTGCGAAGAGGCGCGTGGTACGGTTGATCTTCGGAGTACGAGTCGAAATAAAGTTGAGGAGATGACCCGTGGTGAAACAACGGCAGTTGATGGAGAGGCCTTGCCTGCTGTCGAATTGCCGCGAAACTCGCGTCAAATTCGCCCAGCTGATAGCGTGGAATTTTGGCGGCATGTTACCAGTGCACGTCAAAACGCTTGCTTTATATGTGATTGCGGAACGTATTTGCTCGCAGACGAGCCCCAGCGATCCGTCCGTCCAATTGGTCGATAAGAAGAGTTACCGTTGGACTTCCGATTAATAGTGGGGAGCGTAAAATCGTAACGACCCGGGCAGGTCCACGGCGGTGACCGCAAAACAGCGAAGGATTACTGGTAGCGACTGGTGCACTTCTGACACGCGCTCTCTGCCACGTCCTCGATAAGCTAAAATCATTCGGCCGTTCCGGTTTGATCAAGGTTCGAAGGAGAATCCCCAGCGCGAAGGCGGAGAAACGTTCGAAAATCAATTAATACCGCACATATCGCCGGAGAGATATCACTTTTTAAATCGCGAAACGATTATCGAAAGCGAATTGCGAAAGTATAACTCGAGGAAACTCGAGGATGACGAGGTCAAATTCGAGTGTATCGAGAAAATAATGCGAATAGCCGAACTGCAGGCGCGAAACGCGAAATATGTGCACTACTTATAACGATCGAATCTTTCTGGAAAGTAAAAGCCGCTTCGCGGCGTACCGGTGACGTCGATTAAACTCACTTTCGCATTGAATTGAAATCGGCGATCGGACGGATTTTATACCGAAAGCAGCCGTTAGCAGCTCTCGCTGATCTATTTTTATATGGCTGTCTCGCTTGTCCGCTTACTTTCCGCTGTCTCTTTCACACGGACGACTTATTTGCCGTCAGACACCGCCGGCAAACGAGTAAGACTAGTATCCACGATCCGCATTTCGAACAATTATTCAGCTGCGATGAAAGGATCGTGTCTTTTTATTCGGGCATTCGAGCCCACTCGAGACGCATTCCACACATAACAGTGATAAGTGATAAAGACCCATAGAAGAATTTCATTTTAATCGTGTTTTCGAGTAGGAGATATGTCGTCCGAGAGACAAAGAATTATAGCGGAGATCATATCGTCATCATCCAGTCGTGTTTACAAGGCAATATACTTTCCTCGATAGTAGACCGTAAATGTCAAAAAGAAGTGATATAGGATTATATAGTACATAGAGTACATAGAATATTTGGTAAACACGAAAAAAATAACTTCGTATATACTTTGCACGCACACACACACATACACACACACACACACACATATATATTGCAAAACTTTAATTATATATGTAATTAAAATTATATTTTTTTAAAATAATAAATAACTTTTTGAATAATTTTATATTATGTATAAAAAATTAGTTACATTTAAATCAACGGAAATAGGAGAAATATGTTTTATAATATTATTTTTTATCATTATTATATGAAATACAACATTGTCATTTCTCTTTGTCTCTCCTCGTCACATTATCGCGTGAAATATCGGATTTATAAATTATCTCTACCAGACAGTAGATGGACTACGGACCAAAGTCAGGAGCGGATTCTATCGAGGTTACGTCGATAAGTCGGTGTCAGTACAAAGAACAAATCGCGCTTTTAATTAATTACTCCGTAATTACAAATAAAACGTGATAAAAGCGTAATGGATTTATTCATTGTTCTCAATATGATATTTAAAAGAAGTGCCTTCTTTTTTCACAAAAGTGGGAACGTAATGTATTATTAAATTAATTTACATTTAATTTATATTAAATTAATTATAAAATATATTTATATTAAATTATGTGTACACCTATATTTTATTTGTACTGAAGTATCTTACTTTAAATGCCATCGTATTTCTGGCCATATCTTGATACGCTGGAAATTTTAGCATTTCTCGGGAATACACGTCGCTATATTATAATATTCCACAGTCTACGCTGTCGAATCATAAACTTGCCAATGACGAAATCACGCATACAGATATAAGCGCGCGCTCACGCGCCTTGACGTGTCTGGAGGCTCGCCCGTGTGGCCTACGATACGCTTATCGGCGAGATTGCATAAGTGCTGTATCGTTGGCATGATGTATGCATCGATACCGATTTCATAAGAAAAGAGAGTCCAAATTCTAATGACAGAGTTCTTTTATCGGAATTTTATACTTTTATATTCCTTTTCTTAACTTTTTCATATCTCCTTCAAATTTTTCATAATTTTATATTTTTCTTCTTCTTCCCTTTGTTTCTATTTTTATTTTTATGTTAAATCTCTCTCTCTCTCTCTCTCTCTCTCTCTCTTTCTCCCCTCCCTCCCTTCCTCTCCCTTTCCCCTTTATTTCTGTTTTTTTCTCTCTGGAAATAATGATTTATTCATATATTGCATGTAATGCATTTGATTGAAAAGTGCTCGAAATACAGCGTGAACGTTTTGTGACGCTTAAGTTCATTGCTTAACGTATTTGCGATGAAAGAACCCCCTGCGATGAGTTGAGCAATTGTTTGTGAAACATTATCATGGTCTTTAACCTCAGCACTTCATAATTAAAAGAGGAAATCTCCCGAGCTGAGTATTTCAGAATCGAACATTACGAAACGTTCATATCAAACGTGCGAGGCTGCGAAAGAAAAATCGCCACGTCTATTACAGATTTCGCAAGTTGAGAAAGCGGGCATGATTGACTTGTTTTTCTTTGGCACAATCTTTGAAATATTATAGCTGTATTATGTTATGTAGGTACATAACTTATATACAGTCATATTAATACTACAATACAATTTAAATTATGAATATTGTGAATTTTCTCGTGTAAGAAATCCGAAATAGAAAAAAAGTAGCGAATTTGATTTGTCAAGTCATCGTCCCTCATTCTTCAAAATCATATCGACGTGGCACGTGTGCATGATGCGTGTATTGGATGTCGGGAATAATCAATATTCCTCACGGTATTTCAAGAATACAATGAACAGTTTCTATGCCAATAACGAGAAGAGGAAACAAAACAGAAGAAAATAACGATTACGTCTCTTCGTTTTCTCATTTGCATCTAAATAATAATTTTACACTTGCATACGTACATGTATGTATATGAATTGTATAGATTAAAAACTGTAGAAAACTGTATCAGATTTTAATATGATACAGTCAATTAATAATAATAAGATTATGATTGATGCAATCAAATGCAATAATTGGTAAGATAAACGGATATCTGATGAATTTCTTAATTTTCTGTTTTCTTATTCGCGTTATTATCGCATATTGTTGCCGTGTCACAAGGAAAATAGTTCAATATGACGCGAGATATTATATCTTTTGCATACATGTGCGGTGATACAATATAAACAGAAATAAAATGGAATGCTGCAATTTGTTTTTAAGAGAAGATTAAATTTTTATAAAGAACATACTATATAACTTGATAATAATTTAACTTGATAACATTACGAAAAAAAACGGAGACATTTGAGACAAATATAATATTGAAAACAAATGTTAAGACAAAGATCTGGATACTTAAAGATCTCTTCTTAATACAGTTGAATTATACCTGACGATTTTAAGCATTTTAATATCCGTAAAATATAAAAATCGATTATCACTTATTAAAATTACTATTTTCTATAAATGAATTATATATTAAAATCTTTGATAAAGCTTTTGTATTTTTATTATGCGTAAGTAAGTTCTTTTATCATATACAAAAGGCACGATAGATCTCTGAATCTCTATTTATATCATTCGTCTAACAGAAAGGCAATTTTGCAGATAAATAGAATATAGGCTCGGCATTCCTCAAATTGTTATTAAGTGAATTAATTATATTACCGCAATGGCTTATCCCTTCGCGGAAAATGAGAAAAATAAATCCCATTCTGCAGTTCAATTAACTCACCGTTTATAGCAGATCATACAGTGCCATTGCATTATAACATCAAGTTACAAATACTGCACGTCGAAACAAACTGCAATATTTCTCACACGTTCGAAGGCAAAACCATGCAGTATCAGGATCTACATTTAGCTCAGTAAACGCGATACATATATTTCCATACATTATATTTGTTTGTACGTGACATGTTTACCACATTGATTAACGAAGATAATGGCAAGCTCTATAAACCAACGGAACATATGCATAATTCTAAAGCACGTATATGTATGCTTTACTTCGTCGGAAATCTCTCGCCTATGCTCTCTATATGAAATACGTCCGTATATATGCTCGTGAGACGGAAGGTTTTTTAAAAATTGCACATACAAACGGAGGACGAGGTAAAAAGTGAATAAATGTTAAAATGTTAAAAACGCAATATAGTGAAAATTGTGCATTCTCCTAATATTCCTTATATATAGCACCTTATTATTTCTTAATCAATTATTCCCGTTAACTAAAAGCTTTCATTAAAATATTGTAGGTAGTTGCATATGTAACGCACTTTCAAACAATTGGGGCCCAACAAGTGTTACATGTCAAACTTGCATTTTCGAGATGACATGTCGAAATGCGGGGCTCATTTTTTATAGGTAATACATATAGACAATTAGAGAAAGAAATGCTATTAATAGATTTATTTTTATTGTGCAAAATTTTTCAAAATTTAAAAATATCTGTATTCTTGCATCTAAAATTGTTTTACTGGAAAAAATATAACGTTATCATTTAAAAGAAGAAAATACGGATATTTTTAAATTTATACTGTTTCTCATATTTGGCTTGAACAAGAACTTAACATAATTGTGCTATTCGTAAATAATCCTTTTAGCAAAATAAAAATTATCTATAAGAAAAAATTAGATCCTCCTGCACGCATCAATAGTATGTGAAGTGACACATCCCTAATTTGGTAATCTCATCAGCCCATCTTGGTGGCTTTTCTTATGGATAAACAATGATAGTGCTAAATTGCTTGCAGTGAATACCTACCATAAATAAAGTTGCTTTCTTATTTTCATACATTTTTAGCATTAGAGAGTTAATT